ATTTTATGTCAAGGCTGGACAGGGTTTTTTTTTCACTGGTAGCTGTTATAGAGTTGGTAGGATTTTGTCATGGTTGTTGAGATTATTATTATTTGTGTTTTTTGTATTTTTCTTCTCTAGATTGTGTAGGCTTTACGTTTGATTTACGATACCCACTTATCCTCGGAGATCCCAAGACATTTTCTTCGCGCATAGTTTTGTCTTCCTTTCAGTGAAACTGATGATGCCAAAGAGAGCATAAGCTTTCTCCGGCGAAACGCGGCTTTGATAAAAGCAAATTTCCACTTTGCCTCATCATCTTCACTTTTGTTTCGAATACTATTATGCATCGTACAAACACACATTTCACCCCAAGTAAGGCAATAAAGCCACTAAGATGCAAGGGGTTACTGAGTGTTAGAGAATATAAGAAAAATAATATTAAAGGAAGAGGACAGTAAAAGAACAGGAATTAAAAAGACAAAAGATAACGATTGACTTTCAATTTTTGTAGGTCAAAGTTGACTGGGAAGCAAGAAGCCAGAATCGAGTTCCTTAAAAGAGAAGTGCTATAGAAGAAACTGCTAGCATAGAACTTACGGTGACATCTTGCCATTTCAACTGTAAAATGATGAAACCTTCCCTCCAATCTAGTACAGCGCTTAAATTAATAAATTCCAGGTATCATAGCGGAAAGTTAATCACAACAATTACCATGAAAGTATTTATAGAAAATACACTGGGAAGCTACCTTACTCTAAGCTAAATCACTCTCCTGGGGGTTAGCCACTCCTTGACCCAACAACAGATTGTAGGCTACTTTTAGATCAACTGTCAATTTATCGAATCGATCAGATATACTTTTAAGACAGGAGTATTGTCATCAACATAGATATGGAGTTGAGAGCTGACGAAATAAGAACATTTATGAAAATTACAATCAACATAGATGCAAGTATAGAGCGCTGGATGCACCTGCATTTATGCATAAAGATGTGGAACAGTGGCCATTCAAAGCAGTATTTATTTTGTGATTTGATAAGAAAGACTGAATCAATTCAAAAATTCATCTAGAAATACCATAACCTTCCAACTTGCGAAGAAGGCCATTATGCCAAACCCTGTCAAGTGCCTTTGAGATGTGTCCAAAATAATAGATCGAGCTTCACTATTCTTATCTACAGCTTGATAGACTCTTTCAGTAATAATCGTTAATACATCAATAGTTGACCTACAGAAGCTAAAGCCATATTGCTTATCTGAAAGAAGGCCAATTCAGAATAAATTAGAAACTCCAGTATTTTATCAGAAAGAAGTAAAAGACTAATAGGCCGATAATTAGAAGAATCGGATGGTTCATTTGAGTTCTTAAAGGCTGGAACTACAGAATTGGTTGTTTGTTTGTGTTTATTTAGCGGCATATCAAGCCGTATGGATTATTTTATACCGAAATCTAAATATGAAACTTCAAACTTTATAATTCATTCAAGAGAATGACATTATTTCATGATTAAATTTTAATTAATTAGCTGTATTTCTTTTTACCAAATAATCTTACAAAATTTAACGAGGAATGAAAATTTGTTTCTCTTTAAAAGACACAATATTAATCATAGCACATTACTTTCAGCTTTTTTGACAATTTATGCCATGTTTTCAATTTTTTATTTATTTAAGCGTTTCACCCCAAGCAAAGCGGGAAGCCACTAGGACGCAAGGGGTTACAGAAGATTTGGAGCAAGAACAGATAGGAGTGATAGAGGAAAGGATGAGGAGAAGGATAGTGGATAGATCAAGGCAACTGGAGATGTCGATTAACATTACATTTGAATAGCTGGAGATTATAGCTCTCAGGGAAACAGGAATAGGGAAGGGAGTTCCACAGGCGAGAGGTGCAAGATATGAAGCTATTGGAATAGAAGAGACGGCTACATTTGATAGTTACAACGGTGAAAGAGTGAGAGCGGGTGCCAGCCTCGTAGGGCGCTTGAATTCATGAAGTCTGGGAACCAGCGAATGCAGCTCCTCGGAGCAATTACCATAAAGTATTTGTAAAAAAGACAGAGAGAAGCGACTCGCGTCTAAGAGAGCGACTGTAGACGGGATGCCAGATCAGGGCCAATTATATTGCATATCCGCCTCTGGATCTTATCAAGAATCCTGAGGCAAATAGAAGAGGCTCCAGACCATATATGGCAGCAATACTCCATGCAAGGGCGAATTGTTGATTTGTAGATCTGGAGGATCGATTCCGGGGAGAAAACTTTCCTGGTACGGCACAGGGAGTCAACTTTCCTTGCGGTGGACGAAGCAATTGACTCAATGTATTTGTTCCATCTCAAGTCAGCAGTCAACGTGAGACCGAGCAGCCGCAGAGAGATGCTCTCGAGAAGTTGAGCGTCAGACATTCTAATGGAGGGCAGAGAAGGATCTCTGTGGTGATTAATAGAGAGCAGTTTTGTTTTTGAAGTGTTAAAGTTGACCAGCCAATTCCTTCCCCAGTACACAACCGATTGGAGGTCCTTTTCGAGACACACGGCCAGATTAATTTTGTCAGTGACACTAGATTTGTTTTTGAGGTAGGAGTAAATTGTAGTGTCATCCGCGTAGATTCCAACTTGGGAATATAAAAATGTATTATTGGTAAGCAGGAAGGCAAGATGCGGCAAGGCATTTATTGTATAGTTTAGACAGAACAGGAGACAGTTCAAGAGTCCATTACTTAAGAACAGTTGCAAGGCTACCATCAAGTCCACAGGATTTGTGAGGATCCATTTTAGAAATGATTGCAGAAACCATGGACGGTGTTATATGCATATCACTCAATAGAGTTTCAATTCTAAGTGAAATATCAAAATGTAACCGTAAGTTCTATACAGATAATGTCTTCTATCGCACTTCTCGCTTGTGGAACTCTTCAGGCTTCTTACTTCCAAGTCAACTTTGATCTTCCAAAATTGAAATGCAATGTTATCTTCTGTCTTCTTAATTCTTGTTCTTTTATTGTTCTTTCTCCTTAATAGTATTTTTTTCTTTTTTATATTTTCTAACACCTTGCATCTTAGTGACTTTATTGCCTTGCTTGGAGTGAAATTGTTAAAATAAAAAAAATAGCTAATCCACTATCTATTGGTCTTTGCTAGTTAATCCAAAAATAAAGTAAAAAAAAAAAAATGACCCGTCAAACGAAACATGTCGGACGAAGTCTTGGATAAAGTGCAAGTCTCGTTTGGACCGAAGTTTCAAACTAAGTGAATTTGATATGTTCCGAAAAGGGATATATTTGTTCGAAGTAGCAAAGTGGTGGTTGACTCCTGTAACCGGGTAGGACAATCTAGTATGTAACCAGTGGCGTAGCTAGAGTAAACGTCACCCGGGGCGGTCCGCTCAAATGTCACCCCAATGACACCGATTCACCCTATGATGAATGGTTAGCTGTAGCTAAATTTTCATACATGCTCTACCTTTACTTTACTCTACTGACCGGTACGTTACTGTTTACATGTATGATCCAAGACAAAATCCAATACCACAAAATAATCAGTTCAAATCAAAAGATTTTTAAAATGCAACTGTTCACTTTCAGAACAACTAAATACAAAACGCAGCAATACGCAAAAGAATGACATTCGATACTATGGTCTTAGAATGAATGTATTCTTGTTTTCATTGTGGTAAACTGGTCAATGACATGGTCAAAATCTGTTTGTCTTGTCAGCTCGTTTTCAATGGACAGCACAGCCAGATCCGACAGTCTCGACTGGCTCATGGTTGACGTAATTTTCTGTTGCTAATTTTCCGGTGTCCAATTTTCCGTTGCATCATTTTCTGGGTAACATTTAATTATCAATGATGTTTGAAAATATTTTTCTTGACAAAAATGTTCTATTTAATTTTTAAGCATTTTTCGGAACATTAAATCAACTGCATTCTTTTAAAGGTTACCTAGAGAATTTATGCAAAGTTTATTTTTTTGTTTTTCTTTATACAAGTAAAATAAATTTACATCGTATTTTGATGTTATTACGATTTTAGTTTTAGTGATAATTTAAAAAACAAAAATATTTATCATTAGTACCAATGGAAAATGGAAAATTAAGTTAAAAATTTAAAAGAATCGTTTTTGGAATCGGAAAATAGGCACAAATTTTTCCGATTCCGATACCGTTTCCGATACCCCCAAAAGTTCCGATTTTTCCAATTCTCGAATCCGATTCTCGATTCCGATTAATCATCCCAACACTAGTAGATATATTCAAAAGTATATGGCTCACTCAATGGAAAATTGTATCTCAGCGAATTGATACACAAGCAAGACTGAAATTGTTGCACTTTTGGCTTCGTATTTCGCTTTGTTGTTATTAATGATGCAGAGTTAAAACACCATATCATCCGATAAAATGTTACAACAATGTCTCTTGTTAGTAACCAAGATTGTAGCAACTGAAACACATGAAAGCTGAAAACATTGCTATTTTTCCTACTCACAAATTTCCCGACAAAAATTTCTGACGGGGTGACAAAACGGGGGAGGGGGTCATAAATTATTTCTGGTGGGGGGTCATATGCCCGCCTGCGAAACTCTGTGTCTCCACCACTGTTTTCAGACTATTTTTGGCACCTTAGCCTGGTTGAAAAATTTTGTTGGGGGTGACATTGTGTCACCCTTCCTGTGCTGGCACCCGGGGCGGTCTGCCCCCCTCGCCCCCTGTTAGCTACGCCACTGCAGGTAACCACAATGGACTGGTCCTCGTCGTAGTGGTAGGCAAATGGAGTAGGCAATAGGCGTAGACAATAGGCGTAGTCCATGTACTTCCACGTCAGTCTGTATTTATGGCTGACACCAGCCAATCACATTACTGTGAGAGGGAACCCAGGTGTATGCATATTTATTAAATCAGAATTGTAACAGTCAAGTTAAACGAAATTTAAGTAGAAAAATAACCAAAGAGTTTCGCCTTCAGTCTCTTGCGGTCTGGGTAGTCTAGAACCAAGTGAATCGCAAGTTACGTTAAGCAAAGTCAAGATAGAAATATTCTCGCTGTCTCGAACAAAGTCTCGGACGAAGCGAATTCAGAGTGAATTCTATTTAGTGGAATCTTCTGGAGGATTAAAACTAACGAGGCAGCGCCCTCCTCCTCTCCCCAAATCAAACTGAACGACCCTGCCTCGTATTATATTATAATTCTGTTCATCCCTCCATTAGTTACTAAGTTAGCTCGTGCGCTACACCCTACCATTACCTCAGATAACTAATGGACTATTCCGTTTGGGTTGCGAGAAAAGACAGAAAAAAAAAGTTATATCCGCGACACTGTTTGGTTTTAGTGAGATAAAGAAATCAGCAATGTTACTTTCGGGCCTGCAGAAAAAAAAAAAAAAAAAACAAACAAAAAAACAGTCAAAAGGAGAATTTTTCCCGTGACACCGCTATCATTTTGTACTACTTTCACTCCCTCGGCAATGTTTATATACAAGATTATAAAAATATGTGAATCAAGTACAATGCCATATTTATTATTTACCTTCTATAAAGATTTATTATATACCATTTTATAAAGAGATAAATGTGAAATAAATATTTTTATTAAGAATTAAAACTATTCATGTAAATAAAAAAATCTAATAAATAAATAGTCTTTATTATTTTGTTATAAAAGAACAAAGAAAATTTATAAATTCACTTTCATGTGTTTGGGTTTTATTAAAATTCTTATCTTCACTTTTTAAAACAACAAACATTGCCGAGGGAGTAAAGGTAGTTAAAATAATAGCGGTGTCAAGGGAAAAACCACTCTTTTGACACATCGTTTTATTGCGGGCACGAAGTTTAAACATTACCAGGAAATAATATTATAATAAGAAAAAGAAATGTAGCGGTGATTTAAGAAAGAATTAATTAAAGGGAATATAAAGAAAGCGATAATGCTCTCAAACGTTTGGCATCTGATTCAATGAAATGGAAAATATTGCCAATTTTTAATCTTTTCATTTGTACCCTCTTACTTCTTTAAATAATGACTTGCGTTCATAATTATGACTGTTATTGCAATATTTTGTTAAAGTTGATAAACTCAAATATTTAATGAAGTAATAGAGGAAATGCTACGGTTATTTTATTGTCGTAGGTGTTTATTCAATCATTCAATTAAAAATTATGATTCATCAGCAAATTCAAATAGGAAATTCATTAAATTTTCACGGGAACTGGTTGTTTAGAATAATTCTTACAACTGACCTATATTTCGGTTATATAAGGTTGAACTCTGAGGTCGTTCGAGGTCACCAGAATTCATCAAAAAGCACAGCATGTTATTTCCAGTTGTATGAAGTAATTTCTAGCAAAATGAAGCAATTTCTAGCAAAATGGAGTGAGATATTGAGTTTCTATGGCATCCAAAAGGTCACTAAAGGTCGTTGGATGTAGAATTTGTGGCTTTTATGATTCGTATTACAGGTAAACAATTATATTCTTGGAGGTCTTTAGAAAGAAAAATGGACACAAATTAAATTGACTGGTCCACTTTTAAGATATTAGGAAAGTATTTTTTTGATAGGCAAAGATCATATTTTTTGATAGGCAAAGATCATATTTGTAGATTAGAATCCAACTTGGATAATATTGCTCACCGCTAGGCAATTTCAACTGCTGGGTGGGCGATCAGCAAAACTGAACAGAAAATAGTGGGTGATTTGAAATTTTGGTTAGCGATATAGGATTTAACTTGAGTAATAAAAAATTATTTCAATATACGCAGTAGCCGTATAAATTAGCGTTATTTGATACACCCGCCCCTTTGGTATTTTTTACTACAAGTCACTTTATGAATCAGTTACAAATTTTTACCAAACAATTTTAGTATTTTGAATATTTACTATATAGGTGTGTTGTAGAAAGTTTTTCCATGCGAAAGTGGGCGATGACGGACAAAGGTTGCCTTCTTCAAGTGAAAACTTTTGTTAAAATCGAAAAATATTGATTTTTTAGAAATAATTTTATAAGGTGGGGTCCTATTCATAATATAAATAATGTTTTCTTTTTCTCTTATTCTTTCAAATTCAGTAACCCATTGTGTCTTAGTGACCTTATTGCCTTGCTTGGGATGAAATGATTAAAAACTCAATCTCTGATTTTTTAAAGAGTTATCTGTACTTTGTTTTTATTTACAAATGTCAAGTTGAGAACTGTGCTTATGTCATGGATAAATGTGTACTATTAAATGTGTCCTTTTTCACAATTCGTAAAATCCGAAAGATGTAAAAGAGAAAGACGAAAGCGAATCTGAAGAAAAAGAGAGAGGGAGAAGCAAAAAGCAGAAAGAGAAAAGGAGTTGGGAGAAAGAAAACAAAACTTAAAGAGGGAGAAAGGTGAAGAAAAAGTGAAGAAGAAAGAGAAAGACTGAAAGAGAAAGAGAGAGAGAGAGAGAGAGAGAGAGAGGACTTAAGGAGAAAGGAGAGGAATGATATAGAAGCAGGAAGAGAAAATAAAATGGGGTGAGATGAAAAGTAGAAAGGGGAGTG